GGCGGGGCGAGGTGCCGGTGGCTGGCGCTGGTCGCGCCGCCGCCCGCTCGGCTCACAAGTCGTGGACGCGCCGCCGAGCGGGCAGGAGAGGAGAGGAACGGACGACGAGTCGAGCCGCGCGACGAGACGAGCCGAGCCGAGGGGAGCTTCCCCCCCAGTCAGTGTTGTGTTGTGAGCAGCAGTGTGTATCAGCCGTAGCGGTGCGTCGCCGTGAGTGACGAGAGAGTGCCACGCGAGAGTGTGCCGCGAGTGATCGAAGTGTCCCCAGTGAGCAGTGCGGGAGCATGCGGCGCCAGCCCGCCACGCCGCGAGTGACATGAGGGCGCGGGCGCTGTGCCTCCTGCTGGCGCTGTGCGCGGCCCTACCCTCCCCCCTCCCGCTGGCCGCGGCGTGCGGCCCCGGCCGGGGCGCCGGGCGGCGGCGGGGCCCTCGCAAGCTCACGCCCCTCGTCTTCAAGCAGCACGTCCCCAACGTGTCGGAGAACACGCTGCCCGCCAGCGGGCTGACGGAGGGCCGCGTCACCCGCGACGACAAGCGCTTCAAGGACCTGGTGCCCAACTACAACCCGGACATCATCTTCAAGGACGAGGAGGGCACGGGCGCCGACAGGCTCATGACGCAGGTGAGTGACTTTGTGTGTGTGACTGTGTGTGTGTGTGTGTGTGTGTGTGTGGCGCAGCCCGGGCACAGCGCAAGCGGGGCAATGACCCGTCGACTTTGACAACTGCAATGTACTCTGTGCTGCAAGCCGTGCTCATCCCTCACACTGTGCTGTGAGGTGGTGGTGGTGGGCGAGCCCCGGGCTGTGTGAACCTAACCTACCGTTTTGCAAAAAGGGAGAAAAAAATGGGTCTCCGTGTGGCTTAAAAATAATCGCTTAATTGTTTTAACTCGCTTAACAATTTCAAGTTGGGTGAAATTTTGAACAATCGTCGAGAAAAAGTTGTTTTAGCTTTTGGGCGGCGCTAGAAATTGTGTGAGAATGAGTGGCTTATTTTTGTTGAACAAACAGGACGGCCTCAGCGCGTCGGCCGACCGAGGCGTCGCTTAGCTTTTTCCCTCTGTCTCATTTTGTTTGCATTTCCCGTCGGGCCAGCGCAAGGCAAACGATATTTACCATGAACTCTTGTCGCCCCGCAGCGGTAAATAGTTTTTTTTATATGTGAAAAAAATTGTGTTTCGTACCAACTGCGGTGGAATGTTTCGTTTTTGCTTTAAAGCAAAAGAATTAAAGTGAGCAGCAAGGGAAGGCGTGAAAATAAAAGGTGTGGAGTGTTGATTTCGCGAAAGCGAAGGCTTTGCATCTCATTTGGCGGGCGGGCGGGCGGATCGGACGGCGGCCCGGCGGAGGATATGTCTCGAATGACCGGGGCCCGTCTTGCGTCACGCCGGCCGTCACAACGCCAGTGTCACGGTGCCGGGGTCACAATCTTGTCACAACCTCCATACCTTCTCTCTCTCACACATTCTCTTTCCCTTCGGGTGGAATGCAAACAGATGACCCGAACTTAACTCCCCGCCGCTGTCAAATGAGTGACCGAGAGCCGTTCGTCTTCTCCGGTTACAATCTTTGTGTTTGTCTTGTGGAACCCCCCGAGTGGAGCCTTCTTGGCCTGCCGGAGCGGCGCCTTGCGCGTAGGTGTTTGTTGAACCGGCCCGAGTCAGTCGGGGCCCTGGGAGAGAAATCATACAGCACGACGTCGATGAAAAATCATCATCAGCGGCAGCAGTGGCAGCGGCAGCTGTGGCGATTCGGCAAGCCTCTGGCTTTTTAGTGGTTTCACCGGCATTATTGCGCGAATAACTCTCTCCCGCTCTTTCTTGCTGCGTCTGGTGCTGCGAAGGGGGGCGGGTAGCACGGAAGGTATCTGCCGTCGCCGGGCTGGCATCACAACAACGCATCCGCTGGCGGGTGAACCCGACACCGCCACCACCTCCACCGGCGCGGCCCCGGGCCCCGCCGCCAGGCTCGCCGGCCACGCTCCGCTACTCCTCGTGCTGCCTTCCTGGCGCTTGTCTGGAGGTGTTCGACATTCCGTCTTGACCCTCCCACACTGACACGCCGTCCTGTACTGTCGTGGGTGGAGGCGACCCTTTTTGATGGAACGGCATGGCAAGTGATGCTGCTTGCTGGTGGTGGTGGTGGTGCATGGTGCTGCTGCTGCTGCTGCTGCTGCTGCTGCTGCTGCTGCTGCTGCTGAGTCGCTGCTGCTCCCACCGGCCGTCGCGGCGGTCCCGGCAGATAAGGCCCGGGCGACACGACACGTCTGCAAACACGCCTCGTTATCTCCCCTTCAATAACTTGTAATTTATCTGAGCGTTGTTGCATGTGTGACCGCACCGCGCCGCTCCAGGTCGCGACACTGACCATATGCACGCCGTGTATGCGCGCCGGTTTGCGTCAATGCGCGTGTGGGCTTTATTGCAAATGCGGTTGTTTCTTCGCCGAAAAAAAAGAGGAAGTTAATGACTTCGTACCGGACACTTTTTCGCTTGCCGTGTTTTTTTTGCGTCCCCTTTGAGATGTAGCGGCCGCCCCGGCGGCCCCGCAGCTGCGGTTGGTGCTCCCGATCTCGTTCGTCGTCGTCGTCTCGAATCGATATAAATCGAAACGGTGTCGATGGTCAGGACTCCTGTGTGTGTATGTGTCCTTCTCCTTTACCAGTCGGGCCAAATCGAGCGTGAACACTGGGCGCATTGTCTGGAGTGGTGTGGTGCGGCGCGGAGGGGCTGGGCGGGGGGCGCGGCAGCCCGGTAGCACGGACCAACATCTTGTAATCAAATTATCCTATTGCTTTCCATTTTCCCCCCTAACAAGCCCCGTTCTGGTTGCCTTGTGTGTGGACGCCTGGGTGTCAATCAGAGCGCCAACAAGAGGCCCGGCCGGCCAACAAAGCGAGCGACGCGACGCGCGGAGTGAGCGAGAGAGAGAGAGAGAGAGAGCACCCATAGGGGCGCTGAATGGCCAGGGCGTGTTGACCATTGTGGCCAGCGGGGGCACCTAAACACTGCTGCTGCTGTTCGCGGGCTGCCTGCCAGCTCTGGCTGCCCGCTCCCGTCTGCTCGGGTTTTTGACACATTGGTCTCTAAACAAATCACACGGCCAAAGAAAAGGGAGAAGCAGCTACATGAGGACACGACTTTTGGGAAGGCTGCAGCAGCGGCGCTCAGGTGGCTTACCAGGCAGTCGAACCTTTATCCGCTGTGGTTGCGTAAGCTCGCTGACTTTCTCTCATCCAGCAGAGGCTACTCCGGCGTTGAGGTCAACAATAATGGTTAGTGCGGCTCCAGTTTGCAAAAAAAATATTCCAAAGTTGAGGCCGCATGGAAATTGGTTGGGGGTAACATTATTGGGGGGATGGATGGAACGCCTGCTACCATCCCACTGCACAAGGATGTCTAAAAGTCCTTCCGTTGGAATGTATCCCGCTGAGCCCCCCTCCCCTTTCCCGTTGCGCCTGGAATAAACTCCCGCCGCTATTACAGGTGACTAAACAGGATTAAATAGACGCCATAAACCGGACGGACCTCCCTGCCGAGCCGCGGCGGCGGCGGGTGTCTGCCCCACGGAAGGAGCCAGCAGCAGCGCCTCGGCCAGCGCCCAGCGGCGGGTGCCCGACCAGACAGGGACAAAGGACGTCAGATAAAGATCCGGCTTTAGAGAGGGAAGAGCGGTAAAGGTGCTATGAGAGTGTTGAGAAAAAAAAAACGAAAGAAAAACAAAAACAGCAGTAAGTGGCGAAACCAATCATTTTTGTGTGTGTCATTTACAAACGTTTATCTTGCACTTCTTTACATGCTAGTTTTCTTTCGCATTTCAAATTTAAATTAACATCATGTAATTCAAAGCAAAATGACGCATCAATCATTCATTCGTGCGAGAAACATCCGTCACTTTGCCGCCCAATCCTGTTGATATCCGGCTGAGGCGTCGTCCCCCTCCCCCTTCCTCCCGCGCCCCGGCTCGCAGTGTATCGAATCGTTTCCCTCCCCGGCTCGGCCCGGCATGGCGGGGCAGCACCACACACGTATGAAGAGGTGTACAAAATGGACGCCGGCTGCGGCCCGGGTCGGGTGGGGCGGCGCAGGGGCGGCGCAGGGGCGGCGCAGGGGCGGCGCAGGGGCGGCGCAGGGGTGGGCCCAAGGGGCTGGCTGGGCCGTTTGAAGCTCTACACACCGAGCTTGTGTTGTTATCAGATCACTTTTATTGACCCCCGGGACCCGAACATAATGGTACAAGATAAGTCCATTACGAATAAAATATGAGCCGCGCGGGGCTCTGGGTATAGAGGACCCAACACATCGGAATAAAAAAAGGGGTATAGGAGGGCTCGCGTGTGCCGTGCACACCGAAGAGTATGTGTGATTTGTACTTTTGCAAAAAGCGATTTGGGAAACAGAAACTTCTCCCGAGCCGTATGCTTGCTGAGGGGAATCTGCCTGGGCGGCTGATTAATGCTCAGGTGGGCTCGCTGGACAAGTGACAAGACTTGGGGGCTCCGCGATGCACCCCCCCCCCTTCCTCCCATCCCCATCACAGTGTTGACGCCTCCGTGCACCTGAGCAAGGGTTCCCCAGACAAGAGACACGGCCTCAAGTGGCTGCTAGTTTTTTTTTACTCCTTTTTTGATACAGGACAAATCTCCCCACCCTTTTGTGGGTTTCAATGTAATTGCATACAAGAACATGACGCCTATGTGATGTACTGCATCGCTAGTTGGAAGGCTAGACCATGGGCCTACGTCGGTGGAACATGTGCCCGTCAAAAAGCCGTACTCGCGGAACCGAAAAATGGGGCCATGAAAAGAAAATCGCGCTCAAAGAACGCAACGCCATAAAACTTTCGACCCGAATACCACATCATTATATCATTAATTCCGCCCTTTATTTTTATCCGCAATTGTATAATTATCGAGTGCAGTATATGGACTTTGCGCGCGGTATAAATATAAAAGTGTTTACGGCGAAAGGGTTACTGTTTGTTGTGGCCACATTGTTGTATACAGCCGCATCGTAACAGAGGTCCCGCCAACGGCAATCGCCCCCCCCCCTCAAAAAAAGGACGAGAGGAAAGAAGCGCACCACAATAACGTCTCGCGGAATGCGGCTTTTGATCCGGTAAGCCAAACGCGGGCAGAGGCGCCGGCGCCAACGCGGAGCGTCGAAAGCGACCCTGCACGGCGCGGGGTTTGCTCGAGTGCTGAGTGATGTTTTCATTTATGCCACTGTTTGTACTTCCTTTCTCTTTTGCTCTCTCTCTCTCTTGCTCGCTGACAATGTTTAGTCATGATCGCCGCAGACGCCGCTGCTCACTCCCCGGCGACATGGGGCGGGTCAGGGTGCGCGTCAGCAGCAGCAGCTGACGCGCCACGCTGCTGACGCTGAGCACGGCTCATCCGGGGCAAGGTCCTACAGTAGGTTGTGTCACTTGGGGTATCGTGCTCTGATTGGTTGACGGATCGTGACGTCACCGTCAGTACTCTCGCGCCGTAGTTCAAATAGCTGATCGAATGTTCACACAATTTCACTCACAATATTCATTTTAAGGAAAAATAATGTGGAGAATATCATTATTTTGTCCCCTACTTAGATATTGCACCACGTTTGGACTTGGATGGTCGT